ATTATATAGAAATAAATATTAAATAGATATACATATAAATTTAGATATACTGACAAATTCCTATATGACTAACCAGGTTTTTTCGAATTACGCGTACAACAATCCAACAGCTGTTTTCAACTGTTGTTTACATTCGCGTCATAGGGTCTGACGTCACCAGCGATTATCGCCGACCTGTTAATCGCCGGTCGGCTTAACTCAAATTTGACCGTCTGACAAATTTATTTGTGGTGCGAATGTGGAAACTAGTTTATGCTATATTTGGCACACACGTATAAATTGGTTGATGCTATATTTGGCTAGAATTATTTTGAGTCAATTTTGAATTGAAATAGAGGGGACAATTCATGTCTGTATGTTATATTTCTTTGATAATATGTTATGCAGCTGTCAATGTGTGCTTATGTTAATTTTATGAGTTAAAGAAAATGGTTGTCGATTGTTGTTTTTTTTTAGTGTAATAGATGACTACAGAAAAAAATAATTCTTGTGCATACTTGAGCGAAGAAATATATAGTTTTTCACTAAAAGTAACTACTTCTTTTTGGTTTGTTAACGTTGTTTAAAGTCATATAAAAGAAACGTAGAGGGACTATAGTTAAAGTAGAAGCGACGTATACATTTTTGCTGGATTTGAACCCACGACATCAACATCATTGACATCACCACACTCAGAGTAATTCAAGGTTAATTTCTGCCTCGATGGTGGTAGTTGTTTTAATTAATGTGGGATGATGTGGTGGTTGATAAATGGGATGGTGTAAGGTATTGCTGGTCATGATTTAAAGCTGAGTCAGCCGTGACCTTTTTCAAGTGTTACAAAGTGGGGGGGGGGGGGGGGGGGTGACGTTTGGACAACGGAAGATCCGAACTGTTCATTGAGATCCTTAGGTCAAGTGGGTGACAGAGCTTTAAGTTCAGTCATAAGTTAAGGGGGTGGGGTTTGGGTTTTTACCTGTAAGTAGGGAGAGGGTGTTAGGGAGGGTTATGGAGAGATATTGATATAGGTAGAAAGATATACATATACATCTATAGATATGTATATAGATATATAGCTACATAGATATATAGATTAGATGTACATATTAAGTCCTTGATTTCTTTAGCTTAGTTATATGTGTATGCGTTATGGCCGTTAGCATTATTATTACTGTAGCATTTATTTGAGCGTTAAAAAGCATTTTGAATTGTTATTATTCTAGACAGTTTGTTTTTATCATTGTGTTTTGTATGTGTTTAGGTGTGCTTCCTTTAAGGCGTTCATCTTTTTTGTGTCGTATTTAGAAAAAACTGTTGTTTTTTTCGTCCCTAAATCTAAATAGATTTCTACATGAATAATGCCTTAAGTGAACACACACATACACCCACAAACCATTTGTTCACTATGGGTCACATCAAAGCGTCGGTGCGTCATCTTCAATGACGTCATGGTATCCACATGTGTTTGGGAAAAAATGTTGACGTAGTTTTCACGAGTGTAAAATTTGTGACGTCAATATCGCTATACCTAAAAAGAAAAAAAAAAAGAAAGTATCTGTTATGCTTTAGGCATCCAGTCAACCCTTGCAGCGAAATCATCAAAATGAGCAATTTGAAACGCCGTTTGAACAATTTGAACCGCCATTACGCTTGAGCAGGCCTAGCGAGTAGATTTCCTGGCAAATAGCTCGGTCATTAACATTGTATTAGTCAGTGCGCATGCTCAGGTCGACAGACCCTGAAGTATCATTTCCGGTCGTGTGAGTACCCCAGGTCTAAAGACACGTGAACGGTTCCTCACCTGGAATTTCTCAGCCAGGTGCAAGAGGTGTCGGGACCTATTGGATCGAAGTGCCTGATTTTTTTTTACTTGTGTGCCGTGTTTTGCTCCATTTCCTTTTGCCATTTAGGTAGCGCGGGTTTTATGTATGTAAACTTTAGGTCTGGGAGAACTGAGGGTTGGGGAGGTGTGGGGTGTTGGGGTGGAATGTATTATAGTCATGGGTACGTATGGGGTGGGGGGTTGTGTGTAGAGAGATTGAAATGCAAATGGAAGAATTGTAATCAATAGTGTGGTGTATTTGATGCTAAATGCATTGGATATATGTAACAGAGAACAAGATGTCTTTGTTAGGGAAGGGGTGCATACGTTAGATAAGGAGTGTATTGTTTGTATATTGGAGCGAGAGGGGGCGGCGTGGCCTAGCGGTAGAGAGCTAGACTTCAAACCGATAGTCTTGAGTTGAGTTCAAGTCCCGGTTCAAATCGGTGGAACGTCTCTGAGTTCATCCAGCTCTAATGGGTACCTAACTCAAGTTAAGCCGAGGTCTCTGTAGCAAATGAACTCTACTTCATCTTCCCCATGTGTCTTGCACACGAATGGGAAATGATGAAGTGGGTAAAATAGCACCGTACATCTCCCGCGTATGTTTTGTTTTCTATGTCGGGATTTACATTAACCGCGAGGGTTTATTTGTAGCCATTTTTATCGTAGACAAATTAACTAAGTTACTTATCTGCTTAACCGTTGCGATGTGTGGGTAATGGTTAGTTGGGTGGGTGGGGGTGTCTTATCTTTACCTATAGGTCAAGATTCTTCTGGTCACGTAAGGTGGTCCTGACCTTCTCGATGTCATGACTTCAGCCTTCTCTCATACAACGACGTTTTGGATACCGTCTAACCCTAACCCTGACTTTAAATTCCTGTCTACAATTGTGTATGTAGTATGGTAGAGTGAGGGAGGGGGGTGATAGAAAGGGGGAGAATGCTGTATCTCTAAACAGCCGCACCAAACTGACGTAACGTTAATATGATAACAACAGAGATATCTTGTGCTTTAAGTGAATAGTGAATCGACATGTGCTGTCTGCTGTCTTTCTTTCGGAGAATGTCATCCTCCCCTAACTCCGGGAGAAAAAAAGTAAAAAGTAATTATTACATAGAGTATATATACACACATGTATGTGTATATATATATATATATATATATATATATATATATATATATATATATATATGTATATATATATATATATATATATATATATATATATATATATATATATATATATATATATATATATATATATATATATATATATATATATATATATATATCTTAACCACTGTTAGATACCCCCCTCTCCACTTGGAAGTTTCACATGGCCCTCCCCCCTCGAGCAAAATGTCTGAAAGAAATGCAGCATGTGTGAGTTCAGCAGCATGTGTGAGTTCATACGTGCTCATGGTGAAGGACATGTGTGAATTATCTGTGGGCATGTGTGAATTACCTGTGGGCATGCGTGAGTTTAGGTGTGCTGACATGGAACTGGTATATGTTAACTCGGCTGTGCTTATGGGCGGGTGTGAGTTCACATGTGATCACATATATGTCTGTGCTTATTGCTATGATGTACCCAACTCAGTTGCATCCAATAAAAGAAAGGCACCAACGTTAGATACAGGAAAATGTCACTATTTTAAAATTAATCTATTTTTATCCTCGTTTAGAACAGCTCACTTAATTCTAAACAAATTTAAATCGATGTTGATAGTTTATCTATAATGTTGAAGAATATGGCAAAGGCAAGTCGATACTATACTACTCCGATTCCATACACTTCTTTTTACTACGTATTCGATTGTGTACCACACGCCATTTCGATACCACGCAATGTGTCAGTAATATCGTGGTAGATTTCGATCATATCATCACTGCACATCACGTAAGCATTTAACACACAATGTACAACTCCTATGCTCGAACCTATACAACGACTCATAAACAATACCCGTATCGACATTGCAATTTTGTTGTACATTTTATATTTTTAGAACCATCTCACTACTTGCTGAAAAGACGCGTCCTATTATCCCCCAACCCATTCCCCTCCCCCCCCCCCCCCCTTCTTATCCCAGCTCTCAAAAACCAATTATTGGCTTACAATGTCTATGATTTGGTTTTGTCTGTGCCGAGCGGTGCACACCACATTACACCAACAAAATCGCGTTCAAGACCACTTGATTGTGAAATCCGTCTTGACGTTATGAACTCCAGTGTTGAGAGCGCGAGATGCTGAAATTGGGATTTCCGGGTCGTTGGGTGGGGAGATGTGTCGGAGTTAGGGGGTTCGACTTTGGGGTCAGTGATGGGGGTCATTGTTGTACAGCAAGTGTTACTTTAATTAGATAAGTTCTTTTAGCAATCATAATTTAACTGTCATTTTTTACGATATTGAATCAAAAGATATTTGAATTTTTGTAGTCAAGGCTAAAGAAGTTTTCCAAAGTGTAACAGTTTAAGTAATTTTTTCTTAGTCCAGATGAATTAATTTTTTTTTCTCTTTTTTTAAAATCTTTTTATATTAATTTTAATTATTTTAAAACGTTTCGATTTTGTAAACAGGCCGTATTTGAGCTTGTGTTACATAAAGCCCATAATTTATGTATTCTATTTTCTGTCAAGTCCATGTTGTACCGAACCCATTATTGAATCAAGCCCTTATTTTATTGAGCCTATTTTTTCACGAACAAATCTAAGTAAACCCATATCATATCAAAAACAGACCCTTCTAATTAAGCTAATTCTACAATTTACCTTTCCTATAATTCGCTATCCTATATTTTTCTAAACTCAAAGTCTACTTATCCTATATTTCACCAAGCTTATATTCCACCTCTTATATTTCTACAAGCTTATATACTACACATATCCTATATTCCACCTATCCTATATTCCACCTATCCTATATTCCACGTATCCTGTATTCCCCGTATCCTGTATTCCCCCTATCCTATATTCCCCCTATCCTATATTCCCCCATCCTATATTCCACCTATCCTATATTCCACCTATTCTATATTCCACCTATCCTATATTCCACCTATCCTATATTCCCCCTATCCTATATTCCACCCATCCTATATTCCACCTATCCTATATCACACCTATCCTATACTCCACCTATCCTATATTCCACCAAGCCCCCCTAATTGACCACGTGATCTCCTCCCTCCCCAGATTATGACTCATCTTGAGATGAGGACTCTGGATATGCACTACGACCCAGACGAGACGGAAATGTCTGCCCAGGAGCGCCTGCTCTACAACAACAACTACAACAGCAACCACCACCACCTGCAGATGAACGGCGACGAGGAGCCGCACTACCAGCTGCCCTACGCCCACCTGCACCAGAGCCCGTACCTGCACCATCAGCAGCAGCTACAGCAGCAGCAGGGGTCCTATAGCAGCGACGACCACTCCAGCATCTACAACCCTCGCCACATCAACGGCCACGGGATCACCTACCCGCAGGGTACGCTTCAAGACAAATACAGTGTTGCGTATCCTGTAAGGGACGATAACCTCGGCCGGCGAGGCAACCGCCCCACGGGGTCGGGGATCGTGTACCGCCCTCGGAGAAAGCTCTGGTGGGTGGCGGCCCTGCTCGTTCTTTTACTTTTAGTCATCGCCGGCGCCGTGGTCATCGCCGTGTACTTCACCGTTCTGAAAAAAGAGCCGGTGCCGGCTACGGTCGTAGACAATGGGGCCTCAGTGAGCAAAAATAAAAGCACGCCTCGGCAAAACGTCAATTCCCGAGTCGACGGTTCTGATACTGTGACTCAACAGCCCCCGTATAACATTCCATACACCTCGCCTTATCAGCCGTCGCGTTTCGTCCCGGACGTCAACGACATCAAAATTCAGAAATTCGATGCGTATTGGAACCCTGGAGACTCGCGTCTTTTCACGGCGGTGTTGACCAACGGAACGATGATACAAGCTTTCGGCGCTAAAAGAAGCGACGGTCGCATCAAGTCCTTGTACTCTCTGGGTCTATCAAACATGGGCGGCGCCATGAAGTTAATACGATTTCTCGAGCAGAGGAACTTCGCCTCTGTTGTACTGGCAAACGGAGTAATCGTCAACTACGACTGGGCGGCCAGCGGTATCGACATGGAGGTTAAAGTTTACGAGCCTTACACCGAGAAGACAAAAGGTCCGATATCTCATCTGACTCACGTCGAAATCGGTTTTCGATCCTACCTCCTACGACAAGTGAGTAAAGTAATGGCGGATATCAAAGAACTGAAGCACGACCCTAACACAGGAAGTCGACCCGGGAGTGCTAAATGCTTCACACGTTATCCACTCAAAGTGTCGAAAGGCGGCGGTAATCTTATCTACGAAGGGGCGTTTGTTTTGGGCGAGATTTCCGGTATCGACAAGCCAATGGCCGCGCTGCCTTGGCCGAAAGAACCAGAACCATGTTACGAGAACCTCGACGCCAAAGTCCAACCCAACTACTACCTCCCACTTCCGGGGGAAGTTGAGAACGAGAAGAGCGTCCAAGACGCGTACACGGCATCGTCTGCTGAAATGTTCACCAAACTCTGCTTGACCATCAACGACCACGTGAAAACCGAGTACCACACGCTCTGCTCAGATATGGCAGTCAAAGTCAGGAACAGCCTCAACCATTCTCAACTTCACGACATCGTCTACGAAAGCTGCACCTCCATTCTCAATGCTCTTCACCTCGCGTGCTTTTCCATCACCAGAATCTCCGCCGCTGATAACATGCCGACGCTGGATCCTATCGGACTTATACGTAGCTTTGAAAGGAGACTGTCCAACAGTTTTCAAACCGAGGTCCCAAGTTCAGTGGATATCAAAGCACACGCATTCTGTCCTTCTTCCCTCCCCACATCCTCCTTCCAAAACACCGTCGACATCATCAACAACCGCGGCGCCGTCATCGCAGACATGATCAACATCAACTGCCCGGACTACCCGGAAGTCACCAAAGTCGATGTGTTTCACCTTCTAGCCAAATCCGACCAATCCCCGAGCTACGACCTCGTCCGGCATAAAATCGCCGTCTGCTCGACCTGCGCGTTCGAGAAGTCCATCTCCCTTGTGGTCATCGACGAGTTCATGATGTGCAACGACACCTGCAGCCACACGAACGTCCGAGAGAAGCGGATTGACCAGCTTCTGTCCGAGGAGAAGACGTTCTCCGTGGTGGACGCCGTCTACTGCCACAACTTCCTCACCGACCTGGACATGAGCCTGGAGAGCCCCATCAGAAGCAACTGCCTGGGGAACTGCTTCTCGCACATGCAGGTCAGGCTACAGATCCGCGACCCCAAGACCAACGTCCTCTTCTACGACCAGACTGTTGGATGCAACGAGAACAAGAACTTCATGTGTATAAATAAATTTGGGGCTTAAAATATAAAAAAATCAACAAAAAAAACCCACCTCAAACGGATGCAAGTTTTATTTTAAATCGTAAAATTATCCAACCGGAAGTGATGTCACGAAATGACATGGCAGCAGATGAAATGCATTATTCTTCATTGTCATATGAATGATTCCTATTTTTGGATGTAAAGTGAGAAAATAAGAAACAAAAGCCCATTGTCTGTTTATTTGGGCTTTACTGTAACAGTGTCTTCACGCACGCTGTATTTCCTCAGGTACCTCAAGGGTCATTTGGGTCTAAATCCTGGACAATATTGACCGAACAATTTGCGCCAGTCGTGTCTAAATGATGGACAATGTTGACCAAACGACTAACGTCAGTTGAGTCTAAATCTTGGACAAAGCTGACCGTGCAACAACGGCTATTGAATGGACAGAGTTGACAGTTCTGGTCAGTAAGGAAATCTCGAAGAGTGTTCAGTAAATCTGATCCGAAAAGGCTGCTTTTTCACATTGATACATTCTTAGATGTCATATTGACATCAGGGAAATATGTCAGGAATCAAGGACATTACAGACCCTTGTCAATTGACACTACTAAAAGTAGACAATTGTCATTCCTGTCATCACGCAAACATCAGTTATGACATACTTGAATGACAGCATATGTCAGTCAAATGCCAATCATGTTCCTGTAACAGTGTAAGGACGTTTGGTCTTGGAGAAAGTAGAAAATAAAACTATAACCGTAGCATAACGGGACAGATAACTAGTGTTTACAAAACTTGATTCTGGTAACCATGGACACGCACAGTTGCTGGTCACAGGCAAGAAAATCGTAAACAACCAATTCTAACATTCTCAATCTGAAGACTTCTGCAAGCTCTTTTCAGATCATCTTAGATGGTTACACAAAGCTGTGGATTACACTATGTAATAACTTATGCAAGTTTGTGTTTCATTCAGTGTGAGGATTATTATGTAGCAGTGGTACCATGCAAATTGTAGAGATGTTGCTGTTGTAGTTTAGTGAATAGTGAATCACGTTGTATAATGGTTCGACATTTTCTGATAAAAACTAATTTGTATAATTTTGGAGTGTTTAAAAACAATATAGCTAAATTATTTCTGAAAATATGGATTATTAATTATTACTTATAAGTGTTATGGTTCGTTGGATTCACTGATTAATGGATACACGAAAGGACATACACAACATGGGATATAAAACTGCTTCTGGATTATACGTTTTCCTGCCCATGGATTATGTGTTGTTGTAGTGTCACTCACTGCAAGACAAAATTTATTTGAGGCCATGGTGTTGCAAGATTGAGAACCTCTAATACTAGGGACTAATGTAACCCTATTTATAGACTGTATAGTTTTTGTGTAGGATGCAGTTAATAAAGAAACAAACCACAAGAATGTAGAGCATCTACCAGTTGTCACTTCATAATGTAAACATTTGGTTGTTGGCCTTTGAAGGATTTACACTAGGAGCATTGTCTTATCATAAATAAATAAACATACTTAGATTTTTATTATAACATTAAAACATATATGCATTGCATTTAAAAAAAAAATAGCAACATATTAAGTAAGAAAGTATTTTGGTTGTCAATGTATGCTTCTGTAGAGATGTGATTTTGTCCAATATAAAGAAGTAAAATATTGAAAATAGACATTTTAATTCTATGATGAATGGTCATTCAATATCAAATTGTGTTTTTTATCGTACTTACACTACTTACAGCCATGGTTTCAGCCATGGTCACAGCTATAATCGCAGCCATGTCGATAGCTATAATCGCAGCCATGTTCACAGCTATAATAGCTGCCATGTTGACAGCTATAATCACAGCCATGTTTACAATACATGACTAAAATCAAAACCACCACAGATTTCCTATACATAATTTAGGCCACTTTTATTTAAATATTATCGGGTAAAATCTATTTTAATTTAATCTAATTTAAACACACCTTTTTTTATTATCTTTTTTTATGATGTGTATTTTTGTGTAGCAAAAAATTATGAACATGCAAGATTTGTATCATTCCGTGGAATGCATAATGTGTTCTATGCAATGTGTTTTGTGAAGGTTTTCCTTTTTGTTATCTATCTATCACAATTACGATCACCGTGTAATGTCTGACACAGTTGGGAATGAAAAATGTGCTGCCCAATTAAGGATACAGCTGGGTTATATCCCTTTAATAAACTGGTAACGTTTTAAATAAGTGGTTAGTTACTACTCCTGGCTATTTTATCATACAGGTGTCACAGGGTTATGGCACTTGATGACAGTGCCTGGTGACAGTAGTAAGTGCCACCATATGTGACACCATTGATGAGGTATTGTATAGGAACTAAAATATCTACGCTTATGCTAGCTTATATTCGATTTTCGCTTCATATATTTGCATTAGTTTTTAAAATCAATATATTTCTTATTTATGAGAGTATAGCTACAAAATTTCCTAGATAATAGGAATTGGTGGTAAGTAATACTAGAATCGTGGAGGTCTTTACTTAACGTCTAAGTTAAAATACATTCATCTTTGATATTCTATCATAATAACAAATGCAAAGATTCCATTATTGATATTATACTAAATGTGTAAACAATTCTTGAAAAATGTCTCATCTAATTTGATTGTCGTCTTGACGATGTCTGGTAATTAAGAAGTTAATTGGTTATTCTGTTTATATATGTTTATAAAAATTATTAAAATGCCAGATTTGTAAAGACAAAGTTGTGTACAGGTTATTGTTTCTGATGACAGTAGCGTGAGAACCACTTAAAATTATCTGTATGTTTTTTTTTCGCTCCCCTGTAGCAATGTGATAAAATATTTTTTTTTCGGTTTTTCTGTCAGCAGCGCAACCAAGGGTGGGGTGCTCACCCCGCAAGTCGCACCCCTCCTGCCGACGCCATGTATTTCTTTTAAACACACACGGGGAGAATATTTGGTCTTTCTCCTCTTCTGTAGAGTATGTGCTATTTTTAGCAGAGCGAAGGTCATGACACTTGAACCCTAATCTTTCTTTGAATGTAAAATAAAAAGTTTATGTAGTCTAATTTTGTTTCATTCTATAATGTCTTGTATCATCGGTTTTCTATGCACATATTATATTCATGTCAATAATAAAATATTGTAAATAGATAAAAATTTGAGACTTTGGTGTATCATAGTGATTGCACAATTGACTTGTATGTTTGTATGAAATACCATTTGTGTTAAATGTGTAAATTTAACAAGAAGTATATCAAAGCTTCAACTATTTAACCTTCAGAAATAGTGTAACTTCAAAACACTTTCAAGAATTTGTAGATTATATTTATTCATTAGTGTTTTTATTCTACCAAATACTGTAGGTGTATAATTTTTTTATATTTATTCATTAGTGTTTTTATTCTACCAAATACTGTAGGTGTATAATTTTTTAATAACAATTTTTGTTATAATATTGCAAGATTTTTAATTTAAAATAAAACTTATTTCAAAATATTATTTATATTGTTTTTTTTTTCAAATTATTACGAACAAAGCATTAATCTTAGGGCAATTTTTCATCAAAGCTTTCTCTGCTGTAGTTCATATAAATTGTTTCGTAAATTAAAAAAAAAATAATAATTTAAAGTTTTCTACATTCTTATGTTTAAAAAAATTATTTCTACATGTTCACTATAGTTTAATTTTATCTAACAATTTTATTCGCAAAGTGGAATTTCTTTGAAAGGAGAAATAATTGCCCCAGTTTTACATATTTCTTTGAGCATTTAAAAAAAAATTAAATTACAGAAAAAAATAAAATTAAACATAGCTTTCACAAAAGTTGATAGATTGATGTATATAGTTCATTGTTGAGAGACGTTTTTACCTTAAAAAAAAAGAAATTGTGATGAAAATTGTTGGAAATATGTTAATTAGCTGTTTAATACCTCTGTGGAGAAATATTTTAATTTAAATTAGAGATTTGTTTTGTAAATTGTCACTTAATGAAAGGAGATGATTTTTAAAAAAAGTTATTTGAAATAAATGGCATATTTTATTTTTGTGTGCTGAAGTTGGAGTTCAGAGGTGTGGTGGTTGGTGTGGTGAGTGGTGTACATGTGGTTGTTTGGATATCGTGTTATTGTGAGTAAAGGACCAGATATGGTATATGTTGGTGAAATTGTGGTAGGTTTTTTTTTTTAAATAGAAAGTGTGGGAGATGGGGGGGGATGTTGACAATAGTATATATTTTGGGTTGAGATGGTCATTTTCCGAAAAAATTGTCAATGGGTTGGGGTTGGGGAAGGGGGGTATTATGGATTGTTCTCGAATTAGAGGTAATGAAGTTTATATGTGGTATGTCAGTGGGGGGGGGGGGGGTCTATGTGTGTGGGTCGGGTCAAGCAAGGCTTGTATGTGTGGGGGTGAAAGGTCATTCATTATCGACACAACATTTCCTTTCTCTATGCCAGATTTTTTTGTTCGACTGTCTTGAGTTGACTTCAGCGAGCACTTATTTATCTGACATCATTGTACAAATCTCTGCTTGTGTCTGTACAAAATCGTGTCTGTACAAAGTTTATAAAGATTTATAGTTCAACTGTCGGCCATAGTAGTATGTCGCTGAATGATTCTAGCCGTGTAAGTATACTACAGTAGCGTATACATATGTATGTTTTATGAAGTTTTAATGACGTATGGGGAGTGATCACGTGGTGTATTAAATTAACATAAGCTATTTTTTTGATGATTAGGAATAGGTGAGCCAGTGTTATGAGTTAAAATTTGATGCATTCGTATCACATTAAGAAAGTTGAATGCATAGTAGTAGCACATGTGTGAATGTTGGCGTTAGGTTTAATCAGAGGTAAGATTAGTGTTTAGGTTGAAACTTATGGATTTGATTTGGGGGCGGGTTTAATTAAGTTGTTGATGATAGGCTTAGAATAGCAGTAGTATATGATTAGGCTATGGCCAATTAACAGATTGTCAAATCATTAATTTAAATTTACTATTAATTCATTTTAAAAATGAAGTTTAGAGTAGTTACTGGTGGGAATTTTTCATAAAAATGAAAAACAATGTACGTTCTTTAGTTGATTGGTTTCTAGTAGGGTTTTAAGCTCAGTGTTTCTTCCAGACTTTTTCTCCGTGGGAGCGGACTAAAATTTCTGGGGGGGGGGGGGGGGGACACTGTTAGAAGTATATATTTACTATATAAATTCATTTCGTTCAGAAGAGGGGTAGACTTTCATCGCCCCCCCCCCCCTCACCCGCACCCCTCGAAGAGATGTTTGGAAGAAACTCTGTTTAAACCATCGAATTTACAATTAGATTAACTATTGTGAGGTACATAATATAATGCTACAGTTGCTATGTGGGGGTGAAAGGGTTACGTGAGATCTAAAAATAGCGACGAATGGTTGTGTGTCTAGACTGCTTCAGTAGCCATGTAACTCGAACTGTTTGTTCTGTGAAGTGGGCGGCCTAGATTGTGTATTATCATCATTATTATAAGCTTATTATCTTAACTGTTATAACGATTACAATAAAATATTTTTTTCAAAGTGATTTTTTTTTCTTGTTTGTTTTATTAAATGTATTGTTTATTTGGGGGCGGTGTGGTTGAGTGTTAGAGTGTTTTACGGCTAGCCCGAAGGTCTTGAGATCAGATTTCGGTTCGGATTTGTGACTGCATGGCGTCTCTGAGTTAACTCAGCTCTGATGAGTGCCTGGGTAACCTTAGAAAAACAAAGACGGCTGGGCATATGGCAAGAACATTGAACGGGAAAAGATACCGATTCTTTAATGTTAAAAAGTGTTAGCAGTGTGTGTAAGAAAGTAGATTTTTTTTGTCTTGTTAATTTCAATGATTTGAGGACAGTAGCACAAAATAGATATATAGTTTCATGGGCAAGCTTTAAGCTGAAACACGAATTGACCTGATGCAAAATCTCTCCAAATGCCCAATCAATGTGTTTGTGCTCGGGAGGACGTGGTCAGGTAGGAGAATGCACAACTGTTTAACTACAGTCTAGAGTTCGGACTGAATGGTAGAGCGTTCGACTGTTAACCCGGAGGTCTAGAGTTCGGGTCAGTGACTGGGGACTTAGCACGCCCCTGAGTTCACCCAGCGCTGTTGGGTACCTGACTTGCATTGGGGATAGTAAAGGCAGCTGGTCATAATGCTGACCACCAATATCCCTAAAATAAATTGAAAGGTTGAGGGGGGTGCAAATCGAAAGTTTGAAGGGGGGGGGTGCAAATGGCAATCTCGAGGGGAGGGTGCAAATCGAAAAGTTTGTCCCCGGGCGCCGGGAAGGGTCGCTACGCCTCTGGCAACAAGGGACTATTTCAATGGAAAGTTGGACATGCATTTTATGAAAAATAAACATACTTCAATGGATAAGAGAACATACTGTCACTAATGTACCTCAACAATTTCTTATCTGCAAGAAAACAAACAAAAATAATTTTATATCTGTGTGTTCTCATGACGCCCATTCTCCATAATCATCTTATAGATCTACAATTTAGCTCAGTCAGCAACAACTTTCCCCATCTTTATAGAAATAGAAAGAATACGGCTACATTAAAAAAAAAAAAAAAAAAAAAACTTATTGCGTTTCAGTCGTCAAATCACAGATCTCACGTGAAACTACGTGATTCTCGGGACGATTTACATAATTGCTGGCCAGCTCGAGTTTACGGCCAGGTGTTAGCGTGTCGATGTCAGG